TGCCGAGTGCGGAGCACAGTGCGCCACCGCACCTGCATGGAGTCAGCAGTGTGAGTGTGCAAGGAGTGAAAAGGGGCATCCATCGACTTGGAGGTGCTTCATCTGGATGCACACCAGAGCGAGAGGGGGACTGCAATCGGTCTTTTTCTATTTTTAACTTTGCGCTTTCTTCAACTTTGGCACTTGCCCTCCTTGCACCGCTCGGGGTCGTTCTTGGATGGGAAAAGCATTCTTTCTGAAACGGGTGGCCTTCGCGTGCGCACGTGCCGAGAATGTTGTCGTCACCCCCAGCGACATGGCATCGGTGCACCCCGCATCACCAAAAATACAACACAAACAAGCAGCTTCACGCCACCGAGCAATGGTCCGTAGCGCGCCCTACACCTCTGCTCTGCTCGTTGGTGTCGTTTAGCGGCCTTGAAGCGCAGTCGGTTGTCGGTAGACTTTTGAACCCCCCAATCCGCACCGGCTCGCTCACTTGCAAGGTGCTTCTCCCTGATCGATGAACGTCGTGGAAGCGCGGTTCAAAGTCGATGTATTGCTTCGTTTGCGACTCAAGTGCAGCCACTCTTGCTTGCCCTTCAACATCAAGCAAGGACCTCTTTACGCGACGACTCGGCCCGACGTACTCCTTGTGCTCTGCAGCACCATCTCGGGCTGCTTCTGACAAGAGACCTCTCTAGCGCTCTTAGCCTTCGCTTCTCTCGCCTAGCACATTCCTCGTCTCTAGCAACGAAGGAGAAGTAGCATTCGGTATGAGGTCGAGCTTGTCGGCTGCAGCCACTTGCGCTCTACAAGCTGTCCTTGGGCTCCTCCTTCTGGCGCATCATCAGATCTTTGCACACTCGGACAACCATACGCCAGAGCATGATTTGGATGGAAAGCTCAAGACGACGTCGACGCAGCTAGCAGCGCAAGTCGCAGAGCTGCCTTTGTTCAAGATAGACATGAAGGACTACGTTGCTGCCAATCCTCTGCTCAAGGCTGCCAGAAACATGTATCACGAGAATGGATGGGAGTACGAGCGTTTGCGGGGCAAGCAAAGGAGTAGTAAGGAGGTGCGGGAGCATGTGGTGCGGCCTGCTCCATCCACCAAATCTTCCAACGCCCTATCCAATCCGACGGGCAGCACCTTCTACGCCAAACCGGGTGAAGAGTGGACATTTCGACGATCCCACTTGGGCAAGCACAAGCCCGCTTCGACAACAGGAATGCAGGAGATCGAGTCTCAATGACCCATCTATATTGGCCATCGACCCAGATTGTACGATGCGGTGCGCGAAAATAGGATCGTGGGCAAGGTTCACACGCCAAATTATATCGGCATCAAGGGCGTGTACGATGCGAGCAGCGAAGAAGCGACTGTTCGAGCCTTTGAATTGGGAAAGCCGGATAGGTCTACGGCCGAGAGGCTTTTGCATGGACTGAGAGGTCAAGCTATGCGCGATCAAGAGGATTCCGAGGCAAGGAGGATGAAGCGCTGGGTTTGAGCGTGAAGGAGTGGGAAAAGTGGGTCGATAGTTTGGCTTTGGAAGTTTTTAGATTGGATGTCTGATTGCGCTTCAGCGGTGCCTGGCGACAGCTGGCCGATTGGTTGGCTGCTTCCAGACGAACGCGAGCGTTGAGGAGACGTCGTGCAAAGCGCGTTCTGGAAGCAAACGAACTCTGCGGGACTGCGATCCGAGTGGCTACCTACCATACCACTGTCCACTGTACGCATCATTGACGTAGCTCGCACAAGACATGCAGACGGTGCGAAACACGAGGAGTAGAGTCGCGAGTGTGACGTGTTCTCCTCGGGTCCGGTCCGCATCGAGCGAAGGTCTGGTAACTGGAGCAAAGGGAAGCTCCACGAGCGCCGCCGCCTAACGGGTGTGTCTTTCACCGCCGTCTCTCGGCTGAGCTAGGGTGGCGGCGCTCTTGCTTGTAGTTGCTTTTGCTCATAGCAGTGCACATTGGCGTTTGGCGCCATCCGTCGCGCATTGCCGTGCCGTGCCGGTACACAGGCGCGTAAATAGAGGATTCACATTGTTGATGGACGAAGAAAAGTCCCAACCAAACCTGAAGCTTGGCGTTAGCGTGCTGACACTTGCCACATCTGAACTTGTTCCGCATCAGAACAAATACCGGCCCGCGTCTTAAACCCACTGAAGGATGTTGCAAACATCTTCTTCTACACCATTCGCGCAGCTCATTTCTTCTCTTCTCAACATTCACAAAACAAATCTGCGACGCGTTCGCCAAGTGTTCTCGATCAAGTCTTACATCCATCCTACTTGCCTATTTGTGCTTCCACTCGATCCCGTGAGTAGATTCTACAACGCGCCCCACCCCTCTTCGAGTGGCGCGCTGACCGAGGACGATTCACACTCAGACTAGTCGCGCAAATGTCTCGAGCACTGCATCTCGCTGCGAGCATTTACATACTCGTCATTGCTGTTCTTCTCGGTACCAGACATGCCCACGCCGTGCAGACCCCCCCTGCTGTGCCGGACACGCGCGTCTCGAAAGCAAGACCCGACGCTGCTGCTGCTGCTGCTGCTGCTGCTACCCCTTTCTCCTCGATTTGGAAAAGGGCGCCACTTCTTTCGAGCCTTGCCAAAAAAGTTCTGATCAAGATACAAAAAGCATCAGCGACGACTTCGCGAGGAGGTAATTTGAGCTGCCTAGGCTGTGGCAAGACGGACTTTAGCGATCCAGGACCTTCGCCACCTCACAGAGGCTCGCCCGTGACAGAGTACAGCATCAGCTCTACCAGCCTATCGAGCTACGGCTACAAAACAACCGAGCAGGACAGCATGGGCGATCTGAAAGAGTCGGTGCGAGCGCACAAACAGGCACAAAAGCTCAAAGGATCGACGCTCCAGTCCGAATCTTCCGGCTTCCTCGTAGCAGCAGGCCCCAGGCCAAGCAAAGCAGCCAGCACGCGATGGTAAGCGTCGAGCGGGGCCTCTTCAAAATAGAAAACTTCTCCAAAAAAAAAAAAAAAACGGGACGCAGAGAAGCTGGCATGTGCAAGGTTCTGCAAATCGGAAAGAAAAACAAGAGGCAAATCGACGATTTTCTGCTGGCGGCAGAGAGTAGTTCGTGCTCACGCCATGGCCACGCTTACGCCGATTGTCGGCGCTTCTACGTCAGCCCCCGCGCGGCAAACGCGCCACGAGGGTCAAGTCCTTCGCATTTGCGCAGTGTAGGGGGGGGGGGGGGGT